TAATTTAACACCTATTTACTAAAATAGTTGATTGTTGGTTCGATTATCTAATTGGGATTAATGGAAAATAATTTTCCGAAAATTAAAATCAATTTGTTTTAAGTTTAATTTTAGAAATCTGAAAGGATTTTTTTTTTTTTGTTATTTTCAGTGAATCGGTTCGGCCGACCGGTCTGACCGGTTCGGGCCGAAGCGGTCCGGTTCTGCCCGGTCCAGTTGACCCAAATCACTGGGCCAGGTCAGTCGGACCGAGAACCGGTCTGACCGACCCGAATCCACTTGGATTCGGTCAATTGTATCGTGCACAACCATCGAACCGGCCGGTTCGACCGGTTCGATCAGAACAATAAAAAACGACGTTTAAAAAATAATTTCAAATCCGATTTTCCAATTTTAAACAATTTTAAAGCTGGAAAAATTCTAAACAATATTTCAAAAATATTTTAAACTTACAAAAACTCCCAATTACATAATACAACAATCGCTACTTTAATAATTCGAGCATGCATAAAATCATAGCATATAAAAACGAACGCAATTAATTGCGCAACGAGCTCTGATACCACTGTTGGGAATCGGACACGTGTACGCAGCGAAAACAAAAAATTTATGCGATTTAAACAATTTAGAACACATAAACACATGCCCGATAATTGAAATCAATTAATTGCGTACCTTTGCGCTTCCAGCGAAATTGAAAACAACATACATGCTTAATTATTCAACCGAATTTAAATCAATTAGCATGCTCGCGTTTAAATCAAATAACATGCTCGCAACAAATAAAACGATTTCATGTAATCACATAAAATCATACAATAACGAACATGAACATTTTATTTAAACGTAAACGAATCGAGAACAATGAATTCCTGAGTTTACCTCTTGAAGCGTGAGGTAGACGCACTAAGCAAGACGGGATTGCTACAGAAACCAATCCGTACAATCCGGGGCAACAGCGGTGGAGAGGCAGCAGCGGCAAGACGGGCCACGGCGGCGCGTATGACTCACGCGCGGTCTTCGGGCGGCGCGTGGGGATGCGTGCGGCTTCGGCTCGTGTGCTACTCCTCGATTCTTCGATCTCCGATCTTCCTCCTCTCGGATTTCACCCCGTATACTTCGATCTACTAAACACGTGGCACTAGACACGTAATAGTTAGAAAAACGGAAGAAAATAAGGAAGGAAAGAACTACCGAAAGTAATCGGCCAACGAATGGCCGATTACGGCGAAACGGCGACGGCGACGGCGGTGGTGGGTGTGGGAGAGGGTGGCCAATCGAGAGAGGCATCGGCTAGGGTTAGGGTTAACTCTTATGTCTTTGTGCAAAACCTATAAATCAAGTATTTAAAGTGTCTTGCATAAAACCCTAGCGGGCTTAAGTTGGATAGGGCCCAACAACTTAAGTTATTTAGTTCTTTTACTAGCTCGTCTCTCTCATTTCAATGATCGGAAAATTGTAACGATTACATTTTTAGAATCATTATAATGTCCTCGTCATTACGAGTGCCAACTCTCGATTTCCAACTTTCCAAAAGTGGAAACCCTAATTCAGTGCACTTTCTAAATTTGGAAATTTCCCGATTTAGAAAGTTCACTAATACGTTTGCCTATCCTTTTCCTTTTCTTATTCTCATTCATAATTCCAAATTACGAATGTTGGACCCAATCATATTGACTTCCAATCATGCAAAGATAAACCATTTTATCTCTGATCGTTTATGCACAGATCTCATGTGCACGGGCAGTGTGACCCTCGATGGTTCAGGTGTAAGCTAGCCGTGGGCCCACAACCCTTTGTGGTCAAAACTCGTCCCTTAGAGTTACGATTAAGATGAAGCTCGTTTCACCTTAATCACCCAACGAATCAA